GTGTGGTCTGCTGCAGGCTGCTTGAAGGACAGGCACTGGGTAGGTCTTCCTCTTTCTGCACTCCATGGTCCAGATGATGCTCAGTACAGGTTGGTTCATGGACTAGAAAGGCTACCGGCAGGCTGGAGTAAGCACAGGGTCTACCTGGAAGAGCTGGCTCTTGTCAAAGGTGCAGGTTCCCAGATGGCCTCTCCCCAAATGCCAGAGCTTCAGGGTAGCTTGGGGAAGGAGCAGGTAGAGAAAAACCTGCTCACAAGCAAGACAGCTTTCTAGATATTGAACCAGTTATAATCAAGTGTATTAGCACCTAGACATCTTACATTACTTAATGAGAGAAAATTAAAATCAGAGTATTCTGTGCCACTAATGATTATTTATCAATCAAGGATTAATATGAGGCAATTCCGAATTTATGGTGATAAAAACAGACCTTATAGGGCTGGCCCATAGCTCACTTGGGAGAGTGTGGTGCTGATAACACCAAGGCCAAGGGCTTGGATCCCTATATAGGGATGGCTGGTTGGCTCACTTGGGAGAGTGTGGTGCTAATAACAACAAGTCAAGGGTTAAGATCCCCTTACTGGTCATCTTTAAAACAACAACAACAACAACAGACCTTACAGATAAAAACAGTCCATGTACGCCAGGCTCTGTGATTTCCAACATGGGAAAAAGCTTTATAAAGAGTGGACAGCAACACTGAGAAAGGTGGGTCCTTCAAAACCTTTAGATTGTGCACTGTTGAATATAGTAACCACTAGCGATGTGTGGCTATTTAATTAAAATTGAATAAAATTTAAAATTTAGTTCCTTAGTTGCTACATATAGTCATTGGCTACTGTATTGGACAGCACAGACATAAACCATTTCCATCATTACAGAAAGTTCTTTTCGACTGCTGTTCTAAAGCATTTGAGCTTTGTCCTAGGAGTGATAACTTTGTAGAACAGGTGTTGGGACAGTGTTGGCTGAAATGGTCCTCCCTCCTTTCCCCCCATGAGTGCACAGATGGGATAAGGTACTGCAGCTCTTGCTGATGGTCTTCACGTCAAGTATTGGGAGCTCATTGGGTCTTGTCTCTCTCTTCTGCCGATAGTGTTGGAGAGCTGGCTGGACTACACTGGCGAATTGGAGCCTCCAGAGCCGCTGGCCAGGCTTCCACAGCTCAAGCATTGCATCAAGCAGCTGCTGACGGACCTGGGCAAGGTGCAGCAGATCACTCTCTGCTGCTCAACATGAAACTAACTGGGCAAGGCACCCAAAATTAGGGGGGCACAATTCTGGGGCACCGGCAGGAGGAGCTTCACATATTTAAATAAATAAACCTAGCATGCCGAATGCACATGACACAGACTGACTTCTGGGATCTGGGCAGGAGTGTGATGGACATTGGACAAAGAGGCCATTTTGGCTGCTGGATGGCAGGGCACTCTGATCTCAAAGCCTACCAAGAAGGTAGCATATAGTCTCTTGGGATTCTCTTCGTCTGTGCACATCGATGAATGAAGAGAGTCTTTTGCACAAACTTCACTTGAAATCGTGCCACTGATGATAAATGGAATGAGAGCCAAAAGTTTAGTTGGAAACAGTTGTAAATTCAATTTGTAGTTTATTTAATTGACTTTTCTGTCAGGTTGGGGCACATGCCAACCCTACTGGTTTCTGCCTGGCATAGTGTTTAGGCAGCAGGCATTATTCATTTTCCTGCTTCATGGGAATGTTGTGACTTCACCGTTCTGTGGCAGTTGGGAAGGAGCAGAGGCCTTGGCTGCCCTGCCTTCCTCGGTAGAACTCTTCACTTTTCTCACCACCTCTTTTGCATGACTTCATGGTACCAGGGACAAGTTTTGTACTCTTTTACTGAGTTGGCTGAGTTCTGGCTTTAATAGCAGAGTCCATACAGCCTGTGGAGGAACTAGAATCTCACTGTACTAAGAATCTAGGAGGAATTCTAAACTGAAGCAGGCAGGGTCTGGAACCCAGAGGATGGCATTTTCTATCCACTTCCTAATATTGACAGCTTCCCAGTTCTATTTAATGTTCAAAAAATGTTTCCCTAAATTTCAAACTCTTTCACTGTAAAGATTTGTTACAAAGAATGTGGTTTGGAGAATTACCTTATTTTATATTGTTGTAAAGAAACTTCAGATGCTACATGTGCCGCTTTTCTCCTTCCCTGCAGGGTATGTTTAATAGTTAGCATTTTCAGAATTGTTTTGTTAACATACTTTTAACACTTTAAATTTCCTGTTTGTATTATTTTGTGAGATCAAGGTGATTATGCTGCTTAAGGTCCAGGTACAACCTATTTGTACCTTTTGAGACAATATTTGTGTTACTTTTGCAGGTTACGGTTCCCTGTGTAATTGCTATATTTTGTTGTGTTTTTCCTTACTAGGCCAAGTTAAAGAAAATGTTCCATGCTTTGAGGAATGACTCAGTTCACTATTTTGTTTTCTTATCATTAAAGGAAAAAATCAAAGCACAGTTGTCCATTAACACAAGTTAATTATGGGTTTATGAATCTGTAATATTTTATGCTGCAAATATTTACTATGTAAACATGAAGTAGCCAATATCTCAATAGCAATGACAGTATCTCCGATGACCTATGGAATGGTTAGGTTTTAAGGCACAGGTCATTGTCATGAATTGGCCTCTGTATAAGATCTGTTTCAGGGAATGCTGTCTAGTGATTGGTTCACCATTTGATATAAAATGAATTATAGGATAAGTATAAGTTGACCTGTTATAGCTTATCCATCAGCGGGAATACATGTGGCTATAACATCTGTAATACAGCTGACACAATTCCTTTACAAGAGGCTGTTTCCCACTTAATGTTGGTGTTTCTAGCATGGAAAGAAATGCTTAAGGAGTGTGCATGGTATCTACATTATGGATAATTTATCAGACAGCTGCATTGTAAGAATTGTGTGATGCTTGTTGGAAAAGGGAAGAAAGAGGATGATTTTCTATAGCCACAACTGTGAGGTATGATGATTGTTGTATTAGAATACTGATTTTTCTTTTCTGAAAATACATTTGTGTATCATATCTGGGGAAGCTGTAACTTTTAAGGTAGTCGATTTTGTGTTGTTCAAAGATGGAAGCAGAAACTGAATTACCCTTATTTTGCCAAGTGACCATTAATGGGTTTTTGTTTAAGTTTTGTAAAGGAAATAATCCTGTTTCACTCATTGTGACTTTTGTTCTTAGGGAAGACCCTCACCCCAAGTTCTGATAACCTCAGTGTACTTCCCTAATTTAAAGCCATGTCGAGGGGCTCCATTCCCAATTCCTGGGTCAAGTAGAATTAACGCCAAGTTGGAGCACTGGAAACTTATTTGCAAACATTGCTGTTACCATTTAGAAATATGTGCACTACCTAAGTTTTGTCTTTGAGAAAAACTATCCACCTATAAAAAATTGCCTTGACAAAAAACAGTTCTGGTTTGACTATCATTTTGTTTCTTTAGGTGATGAGTGTATGCAAGGTGGATCGTTGATGAGCCAACATTGCACTGTGGATACATATCTATGTTTACCCACTATTAGAACAGAAGGCGCTGTATATAGAAATGTTGCTTTGAAGCAATATTTGCAAAACTTCTGTTATCTGTATTTGGAAAAAATAAAACAGGTTGTTGCTATGTTTCAGTTACATATTGAAATATTCTTCACTGCAATTTTAATATTATTCTTCTGTAAACATTGCCTTTTAAAGAAAGCCTGCTTTTATCTTCTAAACAGATCTATGTTTTGCAGGGAGGGAGATGCAATTCTACCAAGAAATCCCAAGAAATTATGTAAAATATTCAACTCATTTAAGTGTCTTTCCTTAATATTCAAAAGCAAAATGCCCCACCCACATCTGGTTCATGCTTTGTGGTGGTAAGCTACAGGTGTACTAGATTTTGATTGTTGAAAGTAGTGCAAGGAAGACATGTCTGGTCTTCCTTATATTAAGAAATGTGACATCCACTGCAAAAAGACCCTTCTGAGGCTAACCCAAGCTGCTTATGTACCCCAACTAGCTCCTCCCTGGGTGGGCAGCAGCCTCAAGGGGCAGAGTGGGCTTTTAAGATTTCGTAGCAGGTCATTCCCATTACTTGCCAAATTCTTTCTTCCCTTTTTAAACAATTGTTTAAAAAATACAAGGGAGCCAGTTGGAGAGACATAAAAATGAGTAGCTTCAATAATGTAAATAATTCATTAGTTCACACCAGTTCTGCTTCTTAAATCCTACCAGAGGTCTATGATTTGGCAAGGAAGGAAGGAAGGAGCAAGTCTGGAGGCACGAACCAGCGCTCACAGAACTGCTTTCTGTAAGGGGGTGCAGTAAAACACTTCACATTAAAATAGCCCAATAACTTGGGCTTTGGGGGAAGCCTATGCACAAAGGGCAGGTAGGCACGTTGGTGGCTGTATTGTTACAGAGGTAGCCAGTGAAGTGAGCATTTAACAGAACCGCCGATTTGCAGGATCCCACAACCAAATCCTGCAGGCAGGACGTATCGCTATCATCCATCTTTTCAGGTAGTAAAATGAGCTCGGATTCTGGCAAGTAAAAGGTAGAGGTGGGAATGGAACTCAGACTGCTGTAATCCCCATTTCATAGCCTCCCATTAAACAAACGAAACCTAAGTGGGTCCTTGGGAGCCCAGGAGAAAAACTTCGCAGACGTGGTGGAGGGATGGCCCAGATCTAGCCAACATTTAAGGATTCCACAATAGCCAGCAAAGGCCTGGAGAATAGGAAACTCGGAAAATAAGAAGGCCTTATTCTCATGGGCTCCCAACACCAGTCAGAAAGAAGGTGGAAAATGGGCTCGGTGAAATAAACCCAATAAAGGACGAACGAAAGACACGCCAGACCACAGATGCTGCCAAAACTCGTTTTTCATTAATACGGGGTAGGGTGCCAGGCTCAGGACTCCGAACCCGATCACGGCCCCAGTTCGGAGAGCGCCCAGCTCAGGACGCCCGCAGCTTCGCCGCTTAGCCAGTGATGCGCACATCCGTGCGGCGGCGAAGCCGCCGGGCCCGTGCCGCCTCGGGCAGGATAGCGAGTAGCTGCTCCTGCACCAGCATCTCCGTAATAACTTCGTATAGCATACATTATACGAAGTTATACGAATACTTGTGCTTTGTGGAGAGAGAGGACCTCTTCTTTTTGGTCTTCGCTAGTGCCTGTCCTTGTGTCAATGCAGTTGAGAGTCTGGTGTGCCATTTGCAGGGTGGCTGTGACTGCTGCCATAGAAACTTGTGGCAGCTGTGGCAATGGCAGTGGCTATGGTGGGCTACCCATGTGGAAATGGTGTTTTTTTTGGTGTGCTCTTTCTTTGGTGCTTCTGGGGTCGGCTTCCCCCCAATCCATGCTTCAGGACCCTGGTGGGGCCCCGTGGTGGTGGCAGCAGTTTGCCTAGTTGTGGCCGGGTTCGGCTTTCACCTGCTCCTTGCCTTGGGACCCTGATGGAGTGAAGAATGCCCTATTTTGATGAGGTAGAGGTTGGGATTTTTCAACCACATTACTTTGAATGATTTTTTTTTTTTCTTTTTTCAGGTATTCTAACAAATAAAATGTACTGGTCTACATATATATTTAAAATTTTTAAAAAAATTAATTATTACTATTTTTAACATTCTAAGATATTGTGGGGCAGTTGGGGAAGAGGGGGAGAAGGTAAGGGGGAGAGGAATGGGGAGGGAGGCGGAGGGGGACGGAACGTCTCGGGACCGGGCCGGGAGCCCCCGGAGCCTGGGGGGGACCGCGGAACGTCTTCGGCCTGAGGCGGAGAGCCCAGGGGTGCAGGCCCGAGGGGCAGCTCCTGGACCGCGGAGGCCACCGCTGGGGGCGTAGGAGTCGCTTCGGAGACTGCGGCGTTGGGGCTGGAGGGGTCGGGGGCAGGCGCTGAGGCCTCTGGAATCCAGGCGGCCGCAGAGTTACGCTCAGGATTTGAGCTTGGGTTGGCTCCTTCCTGTTTCTCCGGCGGCACCACCGCCACGGGGTTCCCACTAGCCGCCAAGCTCGGCTCCGTCGCCGCCATGACTCCGGGCGTCACCCTTTGTCCGGCAGCTATGAACTAAGCAGTGCGTCTGCGCGGGGCGGGGTGAGGAGGGAGACGTTTCTAGCTAAAGGGTAGAGCCCGCCCGATCCTGGAAGTAGACAGACCGAGAACGCTGCAGCTTACCCGCACCCGCGAAACGCCCAGAGCGGCCGGAAGCGGAAGTCTCCTCTGGCTTCTCTAAGATGAGGTCGGCGCTCGAGCACTCGGAAGTCGAATCCTGGCTGCGGGAAGCCGCGCCCCCTGGCGTCCGCGAGTCGCGTCAGGAGGCGGCCGCGAGTGGGCTGCGGTGCGCTCTTCGTGATGGTGCCGCTTCCGGGTACCGGTCCGAGGAGGAGGAGCCGGAGCCGGAGCCGGAGGAGCAGGAGTCAAAGGAGAAACCCAGAGATGACGAAGTAGACTTCGAATCCAGGATCCACTTCGGTTTGCAGGTGACCCGCGCCTGCCTGCGGTCGCTCCTCCTTACTTGGCCCGGATTCACGTGTAGCTCTGACAGCCCTTCGGTAAACGATTAGGATGATGGCTAGCCAGGGGCTTGTAAGGGCTGCCGCCCGGCCGGGAACCAAGTCTGGACCACGGGACGGCGGGCCGGGCGCAGGGGGAGGGCCCGGCTCGAGAAAGTCCGCTCGCTTGGTCAAACGAGGAAGGCAGTAGCACCCTCCTTATTGCAAGGATGGCAAACACAACGTGTGTAAGATCCTCCGCACACTGCCTGGCACAAAATAAATGCTCGAGACCTCTTATTATTTTTTTGCGTGTCCTTTGAAACCAAGGAACAGGTGGCTCTTTGGGTTCTGCTTTTAACTTTAGGATAAGTGAACCCCATATGATGGCCGCTAGCTCAATGTGTTTACTGAGCCCTTGAGATGTAGTTAGTCGGAACTGAGATGTGCTGCAATGTAAAATACACACGGAGTTAGTACGGAAAAAACCTCCATACTTTATATATATATATATATATATATATATTTTTTTTTTAGTTTTTTTGGTGGCTGACCGGTATGGAGATCTGAACCCGTGACCTTGGTGTTATAAGGCTGTGCTCTAACCAAATGAGCTAACTGGCCAGCCTTGATACTTTCTTATATTGATTACATTTTGGAATATATTTTGCATATATTGGGTCAAATAAAATATATTACTAAAATTAATTTCACCTGTGTCTTTTTACTTTTCAAATGCAGCTACTAGAAGAATTTAAATTACATATATGGTTCACATTATATATTTCTGTTAAACAGAGCTGGAGTCTGGCTGCCTGGGTGGAATCCCCTTTGCATACAATTTATTTGCCTTACTGCCTCTGGCCCTAAAGGCTTTGTAAAGAAAGTGCTTTTTAAAGGTTTGCTGTTGTCCTAAGTAAATTGCTTGCTATCTCTGAGTTACAGTTTTAACTGTAAAATGTGTATATAATAGAACTTACCTCATAGAGGTTACTGTGAGAATTCAGTGAGACGATGCAGGTAAAAGCCTGTAGCTCTGACAGCCCTTAGGTAAAGGGTATTATATTCTGTTTGACAGCTCATTCACAAATAGGTTTTGTATCCCCATTTTACAGTAAGTACAACTGAGGCCCAAAGAGAGACAGGGGCCCCATACGAAAGGTTTTGTATGACCCCTGCAGTCTCCTTGAGCTTTGTGCAGGATGGGTGGGCATGTTTAAGCAACCATCAACACACCAGTGGCCCTCATATAAAACTTGTGCCTCCTAATAGATGTCTCCCTTGGATGGGTAAAAGTGGATCCTCATGGAGTAGTTTTCATAGCCTGAAAACCTTGAAAGTCATCGCAATGGACTTTTAGTGTTTCTTTTTTACTTGCTGACATGTAAAAATTGGTAGACTTCACATGCAAATCTGGATTTCTAGCTTTTCTTGAAAAAGTGGAAGAGCTGCCACACTGGACCCACATTCCTGCTAGTCAATAATTAGCTGAAGCGGAATAGATACTCCTTCCTTTTGACAAGATACTTTGTCCCAGTTGGCCTCAGTTCTCACCACTGTTTGCATTTACATTGTTTTCCTTAGAGCTGATCATTTTTCTCTATTTTCTTTTCAGAGGTGGGATATTAGGGGCCTACTGTTTGTTTTACTTACTGGTGTCAAACCTTTTCTTGCCTGGCCCCTTGGCAGTTGGGTTTGCTTCCTGAGCGACCAACTGTCCTATTCCCTGTGTGGTAACAGTTTCCAGGACTAAGGGAGCACACCAAAACTTGCTGCAAGGGGAAGGGGTTATGGAAGGGTTCACTGGGGAGGGGAATTCTAAGCTGAGACTCAAGAAGAAAAAGGGTGGAGTTCAAGGGTGTTGCACTCTCTTTGTCACCTCTTTTCCCCCTGGGTGACAGAGACTCAAAGGATTACTCAAAGCCCATTTCTTTTGAGCAGTGAGAAACCCCAAATGGGTTAATTTCCTGGAACCTTCAAGTGAGAGGCATTCTTCCTCAGGAAATTAACCTGGACTGGGCTTCTATCTCAGTATTTATTCTCCAGGCCAGAAAGTTTCAGAAAAGGAACGTAGGTGGAGTTATGGCTATGTATAGTTTAACAATAGAGGCTGGTAACATCAGTGAAATAACAAAGAGACATTCCATAATGCAATTTGCAAAAGGTTAAATAGATCCACCAACAAAAGCTTGTTCTTAGCAAAACTGTCTTTTCCTACAGCAGTTTTCTCAGTATGTTTACATAACAATAAAGTAACTTTAGGTTAACCTGCTCCAAGGGCATTTGTCCTTGAGCCAGCAATTTTGCTGTGTTACAATTCTTTATCTACAACAGAGACTTTAGCTTGGGGGAAAGTTTCCTGTCTTTAGAAGGCTTAACATTTCTATATGTAATTTTAAAAAGTTAGGTTATACCTGAAACTACAGGGCTTTGGAAACTAGGCCCTGTGAAATACATTTGCTTTATAAATGTTAGTATACTCCACAAAGGGCATTCCAGGTAGAAGTCTCTGTCTGTATAAAGGCACATAGTAAGCAGGAGCAAAACTTTATGCAAACTGCAGGGTAGATGGGGGAGTGAGTGGTTGGGATCTGGGAAAGAGGTGAGAGATGAGGTTGGAAAGTTGGTAGAGGCTAAGTTACAAAGATTCTAGAATTCCATGTTTAAAATTTAGTCTTTGGGGCCGGCCCAGTGGCTCACTCGGGAGAGTGCGGTGCTGATGACACCAAGGCCCCGGGTTTGGATCCCATATAGGGATGGCTGGTTCGCTCACTGGCTGGGCGTGGTGCTGACAACACCAAGTCAAGGGTTAAGATCCCCTTACCGGTCATCTTTTAAAAAAAATAAAAATAAAAATAAAAAATAAAATTTAGTCTTTGTCCTCTTGGGAAAGAGGATGAATTCTTCTGATACTTGGAATCACAGAATGTTAGATCTCTAGTCCATTTCTTCCATTCCTATTGGGATCATGGAATATTAGAGATGGAAGGAGGGATGCTAGCAATCTATTAGAATCATGGAATGTTAGAATAGAAAACGTGTTAGAAGTTGAGTACAAGGGCCGGCCTGTGGCTCACTCAGGAGAGTGCGGTGCTGCTAACACCAAGGCCATGGGTTCGGATCCTATATAGGGATGGCCGGTTGGCTCACTAGCTGAGTGTGGTGTTGACAACATCAAGCCAAGGGTTGAGATCCCCTTACCGGTCATCTTTACATAGGAAAAAAAAAAAAAGAAGAAGAAGTTGAATACAAAAATCCAATTCAGTTATTCTAAAGCATTTATGGGTCAGTAAGCCCCCCTGAATCTGAAAAAAAATTATAATACCTCTTTATAGAAAAGATGCAGTTATATACTTCTGCATACAATTTCAGGTAATTTACATACATCCTTGAACCCACCCAGAAGCCTCAAGTTAAGTTATATATTTATATATTTACCATTCTCCTGAATTTTGATGGTTAATAAGTCAAAATGCTAAAATGTGAAGAATTGGTCCAAAACCAAAAAACGAGTAAGTGGTCCCATGAGGACAGAAGTGTTTTGACTTTCAGTCCAAGCTCTTATCACATTAGGTCTTTTTGTTATAACTAGATAGAGACCTCACTTGGGAAGGTATCATAAATCATTCATCTCATTTCACTTAGCTTCCAACACAAAGCCGGATCCCAGTCAATCCGGTAAATGTTGATTTAAAGAGGACAAGTGTGGACAGCAGATGACACAGGATGTGAAGGGAGAGCTTATTCCCAGACTTTCAGAGACTTTGGTGTCTTTTGATGGCACACTATTGTTAGGGAGTTGTGGAAAAGAAGCTTGAATACTTTTTTTTTTTAAGTTTTTTATTTGGAAATAGTTACAGATTTATAGAAAGTTGCAAAAATAGTATAGAGAGGTCTCTGGGCCGACCCCGTGGTGCACTCGGGAGAGTGCAGCGCTGGGAGCGCAGCAGTGCTCCCGCCGCTGGTTCGGATCCTATATAGGGATGGCCTGTGCGCTCACTAGCTGAGCGCGGTGCGGCCGGTCACAAAAACGGAAAAAAAAAAAAGAGAGAGGTCTCATGTACTCTTCACCCAGTTTTCCCCAACGGTAACATCTTGTGTAACTATAGTACAATATCAAAACCAGGAAATTGACGTGAGTACAATCCACAGACCATATGCACGGGTCCCCAGTTTTATATGCACTCATTTATGGGTGTGTGTAGATCTATGCAATTTTATCATGAGTACATTTGTGCAACTACTACCTTAATCTATCTATAACTTATCACCACAAAGATCACTTGTGATATAATTGCATCCCTTTCACTCCCCTTCCCTCCCATCCCTAATGACAGGCAACCACTATTCTGTTCTCCATCTCTATAATTTCATCATTTTAAGAATGTTATATAAATGGGAACACAGAAGTGTATTTCAAAAAGTTCTTAGAGAGATTTGTATTATCTTTTAATTATATTTTTCACGAACTTTTTTTTTTTTTTCCCTTTTTGTCTTTTTTACTGACCGGTAACGGGATTGCAACCCTCGGTGTTGCCAGTGAGCGGGAACCGGTCTCCACATGGGATCCTAACCCTCGGCGGGAGCGCCACCACGCTCCCAAGCGGCGCACTCTCCAGTGCGCCACTGGGCTGGCCCTTTCACGAACTTTTTGAAGTATACCTTGTACATGTAACCCTTTGTGTTTGGCTTTTTTCATTCAACATAGTTCCCTGGAG